CTCAATGTGGTGTGGTGTCGCCTCCTTTGCTGAAAAACCAATATGCATCCCATTCCCACTAGGATGGATGGATGGATGGATGTAGCCAAACCTATTCAGGTGGTCCTTAGCCCCAGTCCGAGTTTCAACTCCAAGTACAGCACTCTTCGTTATTCCTTATTCCCAGAGTTTGCCCTAGTCTTTCCCTGCTCTCTGCCTGTGTTCAAGCTGTTCCTCCTTCCTGGGAGGCCCTTTCTGACCCTCCCCTTCCCCCATCTTCTGTCTACCGATATCATAGACATAGATCCTTCTAGATCAGAGGTAGTGTCACCTCCTGCAGGATCCACGGGATAGGTGAATTAAGTGAGGAGACTAGGGGTCTACCCTACCAGGCACTAACTTGCTGTGTCCCCACCCCCAAGCCCCACTCTCCCGTTTCTGGGGGTGGTTGGATTCCACTGTACTATTATATTATCTTAGACAGTTCTCTGGTTTAATGACCAGGATCAGAGTTAATCATGCAAAGCAGGACCAAGGCTGCCTTTCCCTCCTGGTAACTTCTTCTAAGTGGACTAGGCTCGATCTTCCCTTTTCATTGTCCTAAAGCTCAGCCACTTAGCGCTCCTTCCCTTAATCTTCACCTAGAGACCCAGACCCGCTCTAAGAAAGGTGGGGGGCGGCGGCCTGGAGAGCCTGGAGGCTCGGCCAGGTCCTCTCAGTGGCTAGCCTGTCGCCTCCTGGGTTCACACCTACGGCTGACATAGGGCGAGTACCAGGGTGGGGGACTTAGACCACAGGAGGAACAGCCTCCAAAAGAAAGGAAAAAACCTTCCTGCTTGGAAACAAAAGTGTGTGTGTCTCTGTGTGTGTGTCTCTCTGTGTGTGTGTGTGTGTGTGTGTGTGTGTGTGTGTGTGTGTGTGTCTGTGGCTATTTATTTAAAAACAAAACCACCTTAAAGGAGCCGCCCCTCCCCCACAGGCCCGACCACCCGCCGGGAGTTCGCGGGGAAGAGCCGCAAGTCTGAACCGAGGGAGTGGCCAACGCCCCACAGAGTGCCGCCGGTCTCGGAGCCGCTCACCCACACCCTGCGGGCTCCAGACAGCCAACTCCCCGGCGCAGCGCGCAGAAGCTGCGGCGGAGGCGGGGACCCTGGTGCCGCCAAAGCCCCGCAGCGCCAGCCGCGGCGCAGACTCCCCTGCCGCCGCCTATCCCAGCCCCGCGGCCTGGGCCGTCAATCAAGCTGGCCCGGCCCCGCCTTCGGGCTGCGGCGGGCGGCCAATCAGGCCCGAGCTCCGCAGCGATGAGCTCAGCCGGCTCGCTTCCCATTGGGCGGCTATATTAAGAAAGTGGCCGGACTCTTTAAATAGCGGGCGCTAGGGCCGCAGCCCTCATCTGCCACCGCAGTCAGGCTGTCGTCGCTTCCTCTTCTCTTGTGTGCTTGGTGAGGCCTAGGGAGCCGGCAGGGAGCTAGGCCGAATCCGCAGCCCGCGCCACCGTTACGCACAAAGCCACCCACCCCCGGCTCGGGGCGAGCAGAGCGGCCACCGCCCGGGAGCAGCGCGGCAGACGCACGGTGCGCCCTATGCCCCCGCGCCCCCACCGCCCCCGCCGCGGCAGCAGGAGCGCACCGAGAGAACGCGCCACCGCGGGGCCCGGGTGCAGCTAGCGACCCTCCCCCAGCGCGCAGCCCGAGGTGAGCAGTGAGCGGCGAGCGGGACGGCAGCGAGGCGTTCGCGGGCCCCCTCCTGCTGCCCGGGCCCGGCTCGCTCATGGCGGCCATCCGCAAGAAGCTGGTGGTGGTGGGCGACGGCGCGTGTGGCAAGACGTGCCTGCTGATCGTGTTCAGTAAGGATGAGTTCCCCGAGGTGTACGTGCCCACCGTCTTCGAGAACTATGTGGCTGACATCGAGGTGGACGGCAAGCAGGTGGAGCTGGCGCTGTGGGATACGGCGGGCCAGGAGGACTACGACCGCCTGCGGCCGCTCTCCTACCCAGACACCGACGTCATCCTCATGTGCTTCTCGGTGGACAGCCCGGACTCGCTGGAGAACATCCCCGAGAAGTGGGTACCCGAGGTGAAGCACTTCTGCCCCAACGTGCCCATCATCCTGGTGGCCAACAAGAAAGACCTGCGCAGTGACGAGCACGTCCGCACAGAGCTGGCCCGCATGAAGCAGGAACCCGTGCGCACGGATGACGGCCGCGCCATGGCCGTGCGCATCCAAGCCTACGACTACCTCGAGTGCTCAGCCAAGACCAAGGAGGGCGTGCGCGAGGTCTTCGAGACGGCCACGCGCGCCGCGCTGCAGAAGCGCTACGGCTCCCAGAACGGCTGCATCAACTGCTGCAAGGTGCTATGAGGGCAGCGCCCGCCCCGCCTGCCCCTGCCGGCGCGGCTCCCCTCCCGGGCCCGTCCCCCACGATCCCGGAGAAGGGGAGACCCGCGCCCGCCTAGGACCCTGCCGGACTGCCTGGCATCTGCTGGCGGCTCTGGCTCGCTCCGAGAATCGGCGTGAGCACCGGGCGCCCCTTCCCAGTGTCTGTGTGCGTCCAGCTGTGTTGCACAGGCCCGGGCGCCCCGCTGAGTGCCAAGGGTCCCCTGAGCATGCTTTTCTGAAGAGTCAGGCCTCAGAGTGTGTGGCTGTATGTCTGTTCGACTCCCTTCGCCCCATTTTCACCCCACCCCCACCTCTGATCCCCGGGGGCGAGATTGGCGCCCGAGTGTGGCCGCGCCCCATCAGATGTTCGCCCTTAACCAGCCAGCGCCTGCGACCCCTTGTCTGTAACATAGACCCCGGGAACTGCGGGAGGGGAGGGCAGGGAGGATGGGGGGATGTTATATAAATATAGATATAATTTTATTTTCGGAGGTAAGATGATATTTAATGGTGGTGGTGGGTGGAGTGACCAGGGCGCTAAAACAGCTCCGGCCCTGGCTGGGTCAGGCGCCCATCCAAGAAGGAACAGGACTTGGTCATCTTTCCAACTCCTGGGGAAGACATTTGCAACTGACTTGGGGCTGAGAGGACACAGCCTCCGGACACAGCGTCTCCTGCGGGCCAGCCCCAGGCGAAGCCCTCACCAGCCACCGGCGGGAGCAGAGAGGGTGCACTGCGGGCTTGTTTTTGCCATAAGCGAACTTTGTGCCTGTCCTACAAGTGAAAATTGTTTAGTCCAAGAAACTGATGTTATCTGATTTATTTAAAAGCTAAAACTTGGTTTTTCTTTGGGAAGAAATTCTTTGCACAATTGTTTCATTGTTTGACACTTAATGCACTTGTCATTTGCATAAGACAGTAGCATTCTGACCACACTTGTACGCTGTAACCTCATCCACTTGTGATGTTTTTAAAAAAAATGTTGATGACTTTTAAAAAACAAGGAGAGGGATAAAAACCCCCACTAATTTTTGCTTTGTTTTCTTGAAAAAGGCAGCAACACTGTTTTGCGATTTTATTTGTGCAGGTTATGCACACTATTTTGATAAAGGGCAGTAACAAGTATTGGGGCCTATTTAAAACTTATTTTTTTTTCACAAGGCAGTCTCTAAAGCTATGTGAAGTTTTCTCTGCATCTCTGTAGAGAGAATAAACCTGTCCCTATTTTCTTCCCCTCCCCTCCCGCCCAGTGGTACTTCTACTAAATTGTTGTCTTGTTTTTTATTTTTTAAATAAACTGACAAATGACAAAGTGGTGAGCTTATGATGTTTACATAAAAGTTCTATAAGCTGTGTATACAGTTTTTTATGTAAAATATTAAAAGACTATGATGATGACATTTATAAAATGGCTCTTGTGGTTTAATAGTGTGCAAAGGTATCCTTGTGAGTTTGGGACAAAGGAAGAATTCTTAGTGGGGTCTTTGCCACCAGCTCCATTTACTTTGTGAGGATGAGGTCCTTTGGGGGTGTGTGTGGGGATTGGGGGAGGGGTTGGGTGACTGAGGGGAGAGCAGGTTGTTCCTGTCACCCTCCTAGAGGAAAATGATTGGGTTACCTAGACACCAGGGCAAAAACCTTTGACTTAATATGTACTCGGTCCTATTAGGTGGGGCTGATTTTATTTTCTCTATATGTGTTAAAAACACTTGTGTGTCTAAGTCTATCACTTGGCTTTGCTTATTCTTTGAAACTTGAAAAGTTGTCATTTGTGCATTTTAAGTCTAGATAATGTTTTTTTGCTAATCACTGGCGTGGGGCCAGGCTCTGCCTCAGGAAGGCTGGTTACTGAGTTTCCTGTGGAGCATCAGGGGTTATGCAGCACCCCAGGAGACTGTAGGTGGTCATCTTTGGGACTGGAACTCCTGAGTGGGAGTGGAGGGGAAGTTCAGATAAGGAGCTAGCTGAGTTTTCTTATACTATCTAATTTTCACCTGCCAAGGAAACGTAAAATGCTTTATTCTAAGTATGGAGAAGGGCCGTATTATGGACAGAACACTGGATGTTTGGGGTGGTTGTTTAAAGATGGAGCAGCCACATTTGAGGGTTCAAGCATGATGAGCTCTAATGGTAGACACTGCCTTGCTGCAGTGGTTCTTAGAACTAGACAGGCTGATTTATACTTGGAGACCACAGTCAAATCCTGCTGCAGGTGTGACGGCTGAAACCTGCCAGGGCTCAGCAGCTTCCAGGGAAGGTATCTGACAGTGCCAACCTCTCCAACTAGACCTAAGAAAGTGGTTTTTGTTTTTGAATCAGCACTTTCTGGATTTCTAGCACTTATTGCCACCTTCTCCTCCCCCTTCCCTCCCACACCCAGGGCACCGGCAGAGAAGATCTCTTTTGAAGTTGTTTTGCTTCAAAGCCTGAGGCTTTGGGTTCCCAGTCTTCCCCCAGACTCCTAAGGGCTTTTGTTGAGTGGAGAAAACCTGGTCGGTGGTGACCTTTCACCCACTGAAACCCGGGCAATAACTGGGCCTCCTGCTGGGCTGGGCAGGCATTGGTCAACAGGGGGGATTGTTTGGGCTCCTTCCTCCAGGAGCAGAACAAGACAGGGTGGCTTCTTTGAGCAACTGCTTCTTTGAGCAACTGCCTCACTCCCTCCTGGGCCCCTAGGCCACTCACAGCCTACTTTTTCTTTTTCATTTTAAAGACAAAACTTCCCATTGAAAACCAGAATGTTTATTTGCAGGTTTTACAGCTAGCAAATCCTTTGGTACCAGGGAGTGCAGGATCTGTGGGGGAAGAGCTGAGGCTTGGGCTGAATGCCCAGGACTCAGCTTTGCAACCAGCCAAGAGCCTGGAGACCCAACCCCCTGAAAGGGCCTTTTCAAGGTTTCCTGCCTGTTCAAATCTGCCTGGTACCTAGAGCTGTCTGTTTCTTATATTTTGGGGAGACAAACACTCAGATGACACATGGCGGCCTGAGTTATGCTTGTTTTAAAATGCATGGCATTTAATAATCCTGCCGGAACACACTCTTCTTGCTGCATTAGGATCCAACTGGAAAATATAAAGACGAATTGCTGTAGGCTGGAAAATCAATTAGGAAAAAGAGGTAAAACATCTGGTGTTACTTGTAGAATATGAAAATTCATTTTGCACATTTAAAATAAATGTGCTGAGTTGATTTAATTGCCTGTTGAACTGTTCTGTGGAAAATAGTGGGGCGTTTCATTGATCCTGGGCATTTTATAGCAAAGGGCATTGTCTTGGGTTCTCCTTTAATCTTAATCTTAAATCAATCTGAATTGTATTTCTAAGGTTTTTTTCACATGTATTTCAGTAGACCTTGAACTGTGAACTGTGGTTTTCCTTCTTTATTTTTTTTTCTTCTTTTTTTTTTTTATTGTCACATAAGCACAGGATTTACTTCTTTATTTTTTATTTCAGAATATTACAAGGGTACAAATATTTTGGTTACATGAATTGCTTTTGTACTGCTTGAATCAAAGTTATAAAATGTGTCCATCACCCAGATAGCATACATTGCACCTATTAGGTATGATTTCACCTACTCCTTAAACTGTGGTTTTGAAACTCAAGTGTGCATTAGAATCACATGGAGGGTGGGTTGTAACACAGACTGTTGGGCCTAACCCCAGAGTTTCTGTTCTAGTAGGTCTGGGGTGGGGTTCAAGAATTTGAATTTCTAACAAGGTCCTAAATGACATTGATGCTGCTGGTTTGGGGACCACACTTTGAGAACGACTGGCTTGGAATGAGGCAGAGGCCTTGTCAATGTGCAGAGGGAGGTTGGTTTCCTATGAAAATAGATCAAATTCCGCAGACTTACAGGGTTGGCCCTGTAGTCTTGACTTCCATACCCCAGGGAGTACAGAGCTCCCAGAGAGCTTTCCTTTTAGGATGAACCACACATAATCCCTATCTTCTTTTCCTCACATTCTTATACCAAAAGAGGTTTAATGACCTTCTAGCGATTTAGTTCTGCCATTCCTGCATCCATTACTGCATTCAGAATGCAACAGCATGCATTGGCACCTACTCTATGAGCTCGATGAGATGGGAATACAAAAGGAACACGACTCAGTCCTTGCCCCTCAGGAGCTCACTCATAGCCGGGCAGGGCAGGCAGTTGCAGGAATGTGTCCACCAAGTCCTGAAATATGGCATTCTCTGATGGATGTTAGCCAAGGGCACAACAGGACCCCAGGATGGAAGTGCCTAGGTTTGCCTGGAACATTGGCGAAGGTGTCACAGAGGAGACATTTGAGCTGAGTCTTTTTTTTTTTTTTTTTGAGACAGAGTTTCACTCTTTTGCCTGGAGTAGAGTGCCGTGGCGTCAGCCTAGCTCACAGCAAACTCAAACTCCTGGGATCAAGCAATCCTTCTGCCTCAGCCTCCCGAGTAGCTGGGACTACAGGCACGCGCCACCATGCCCGGCTCATTTTTTTCTATATATTTTTAGTTGGTTGATTAATTTATTTCTATTTTTAGTAGAGACGGGGTCTCACTCTTGCTCAGGCTGGTTTCAAACTCCTGACCTTGAGCGATCCACCCTCCTCAACCTCCCAGAGTGCTAGGATTACAGGCGTGATCCACCACGCCATTGTACACCAGTGATATGTACAGCTTCATTTTGTCACTGTTTCCCCAGGGGCCTGACCTCTGGGGAATAAAGCTCTCTTGGGTGAGAACTACTTTCTGCTTTTAGTCCCTCTAGCATGTATTTCTTCAGTCAAGACAAATGATATTACCCAGCCAAGTCAAACACAGCCTCTCCAGTCCCTCCCTGTCCACAACACAGGGACCTACCTGGCAGGCCAGGAGAGAAGGCTGGTGATGAAGGTTTCATTGTTTCCTCTGTGCCTTCCAGGGATGTGGCACAAAGGTTTGCTTTGTGATCACCTACACCCTGGGAAGCACACGCCCTGGCCTCCAGGAGACTGTGGGGCCACAAAGGGGCCTTGTGCCCCAGCTCCTCCGCTCCTCACCACTTTATCTGGTCCATCTTCTGGCTGGGGGGAGAACCTGGGCTCTCAGACTGCCCCCAACTCTCAGAAGCCCCTATTTGGGCATGGGAGATAAGAGCCTAGAGGATCTCAGTTCATTCTTTCCTGTTCATTCTTTTATTTATTTATTTTTAATACCTTTACTGAATCCTGGTGCATGTTCATTCTTTTAGTCAACAAATATTTATTGTTGACTAAAAGACTCTGGGTCTCACTCTATGCTAGGAGCCTGGGATACAGTATGCCAAGAAACAGGCATCATCCCTCCCCTGGTAGAGTTTTCAGCCTAAGCAAGTGATGATGATGATGGTAACAGCTTATATTTATTGACTATGCACCAGGCACTGTTCTAAGCCCTTTATCTGTATTATTTTATTAAATCCTTATATTATTAATAGTAATCTATTGCTGTATAACAAATTATTCTAAAACTCAGTGGCTTAGAACAAAATGTATTACCTTACAGTTTCTGTGAGTCAGGAGTTGAGGCACAGTTTAGCTGGGTCCTCTGGCTGAGGGTGTCTCAGGAAGCTCTAAGCAAGGTGTTGGCTGGGGCTGCATTTATCTTGAGGCTTACCTGGCGAAGAATCTGCTCCCGAGCTCACTCATGTGGCTGCTGGCAGGATTCAGTTTCTCCCTGGCTGAGGCTGCCCTCCGTTCCCTGCCGTGTGGGCCTATCCACAGGGCGGGTCTCACCAGGGTGGCTCGTTTCCTCAGAGTAAGCAAGAGAGAGCGTGAGCGAGGTAGAAGTCAGTCTTTTATAACCCAGTCTCAGAAGTGCCATCCCATCAATTCACTTCACTGTATTCTATTTATTAGAAATAAGTAACTGGGTCCGGTCCACACTCAATGGGAGGGGATTGTACAAGGACATGAATACCAGAAGAGGGGATCTTTGGGAGCTATTTTATTTTATAAAAAAATAAGAGACAAGGTCTTGCTCTGTTGCCCAGGCTGGAGTGCAATGTCGTGATCATATCTCACTGCAACTTTGAACTCCTGGGCTCAAGAGATCCTCCTGCCTCAGCCTCCTAAGTATCTGGGACTACAGGCATATGCCACCATGCCTGGCTAATTTTTTTTATTTTTTGTAGAAATGGGGTCTTGCTATGCTGCCCAGGTTGGTCTTGAATGCTTGGCCTTCAGTGAGCCTCCTGCCGCAGCCTCCCAAAGTGGTAGGATTAGAGGTGTGTGAGCCACTGCCCTCAGCTGGGGGCAATTTTGGAAGCAGCTGACCACAATCTCTGCAACAACTCTGAGACAAGCACCAGAGGAAACTGAGCCATAGAGAGGTTAAGCAACTTGCTCTTGGTCACAAAACTTGTACAGATTTGATGCAGGTAGTCTGGCCCCAGGACAACAATATCATACATATGGTGAGATTCTGATTTGAGAAAGGTCACACTGACTGCAGTGTGGGGGTGGATTGGAGGAGGGAAGACCAGAGGCAGGAAGACTAATGAAGAAGACTCTTCCCTGGCCCCGGTGGAGATGAGAGGGCCCGAGATGCACAGTGTGGACGTGGCGAGGAGGTGGCAGAGTGGAAGGACATTTAGGAGGTAGATCTGAGTGGGAGGCACCACGACGACCCCCAGGGCTCTGGCCTGGGTGACTTAGAGGTAATATAAGGTAAGATAAGAACAGTCTGTAAGGTAAGAATAAGCAGAAGATGAGCAGATGTTGGGGAGGGCACTAGAAGGATGTGTTGAGTTTGGGTTTGATATTGAGTGCAAGGTATCTTTACAAATGACCACGGTCCTCTGACCCTCCCTCATCCCTCCCACACCATAATCTGAGTACCATCTGTATGGATTTAGACTACTGTGTCCTGTTCAGGTCATGCAGAAAGGCCACAGTCCCTATGAATGAAGAAAGTCTCCCTGATGGGAGGGGACTTCATCAGACCAGCCTTCCTAGGAAGAAGCACATCCTGGGATAGGAACGGTGGCTTTAGAAAGTGGACCTCAGAAAGCAAGGAAAGGAGCTCAGCCCCTCTCCGAGAGCACAATCTAGATGTGTCCAGGTGTCACTGGGCGCTGAAGGGACGGGGAGGGCAGGAGACTTCTGCTCCATGTGGGTGGCCAGGGTAGGCAGAGAGACCCAGCGAGGGCCGTCCAGGCTAGTGGACTCTAGGAGAAACCATATCAAATAGCTAATTATAAGGTACGCCTGTCGGACAGTTAATTCTATTCGATTCTCTTGGAACCTTGAAGTTCCAAGAGAACAATGAAGTTTTGCCAAATATTCTAGCCTGACTTTAGCACTGCTGTGGAGATTCGAGGGAAGAATGTTATCCATGCCAGGCTGGGGGGAAGAGGAAGCACAGTTCCTGAGGGTTCCCACCACGGCGGTTCCAGCTGGGAGCAGAGTGAGCATGCCCAGGATGAAGGAGCTCTGGAATAAGAGTCTTGGTTGTGCTGTTCAACCATTTATTCACAAGGAGGTTGTTTTCCTCATTGCGAACCACAGTCAGGATGCCCGTGTGACGGACGCTGTCTGGCCAGGTTGGAGGGATCTCTGGGTCAGCTGAGGAGGGAGGGAGCCACCAGGGGACAGGTGGTAACCAAAGCCCTGGAGAAAGGAGGAGATGACCCAGGAAGAGTACTCGGAGTGACAATGGACTTTAAGCTAGACCAGAAGTGCCATGACAAGAGTGAGGCTGGAATCCCACGAGTCAGGAATTCTGCTCGTTCCCTGCTGTGTCTCTACTGCCCGGGACGGTGCTTGACATATCCTAGGACCTCAAATAGTAGTTGAACGAAGGAGTTAATTAAAGAAAGGACAGAAATTTAGGAAGCAGCAACTTCTAAGAGAACTGAGGAAGTGATGAAGGTTTGGAACAGCTGCTGTGGGCAATGAGAGGAAGAAGAGGGAGACAATGGCTGGGCTCCTTGGGATCCCTGAGTCCCGGGAAGTTAAGAAAGTTCTCCTTTAAGGTCAGGCTTTGAGCACTGGCACCGACGGAGAAAAGGCTTTCTCTATACCCCACCCCTAGCAAAAATGCACAACTGCTCAACCCAACAAGGTCCCTGGGGAATACTCCTGGGGACCCTGCGGGGAGGGGGAGCGGAGCGTGCAGCAGGAC